AAACGGGGTCCAAGGCTGGGGGCAGGAGGAGGAACGCTGTACTGCGCACTTATTACTGGCTGTTTCTGGGAAAGTCGACACACGCCGAGGACAGAAGCGGAAGCAAATTGAGCGCGCCAACAGCACGGAATCCTCGCGCGATACAGGGTCCGGCGGCGGCGGGAGGCACCATGCCTGCTCTGCTGGGCCCGGGGGAGGGGCTGCAACTGTGCAGACAGGGCACTGCCAAGGGACGACAGATTCCCCCAGGAGACGGGCGCCGCCCAGAGCCAAGGGGAGGCGGCCAGCTCATCCTTGCCGAAACCTGCCGCGGGCTCCGGGGCATGTGTGAAACGTGACCGAGGGAGAACACAAAAACGAACACAGGAGCTGCTGCAGCTGAGTGGCTCTCGCTTCTCCGAGGCCCTGCCACCTCGTCCAGGGAGGCTTCCCAGACTGCACCTGGCCGTCACCCAGCAGTCCCCCAACCCAGGCTGAGCGCAGCTCCTCTCCGACATGGGGCTTACGTCAGTGTGTGACTGTAACTCACAGGGCTAATTACATGGCGGACGTGTGCCTCCCCCCAAGACAGCAAGCTCCACCCTGCGGGACGGGTGCTCAGCACACTCTCCCGTGCCTGCAGGAGGGTCTGGCAGACAGGAGAGCAGCAGGTGCGCCTGGGAGCTTGCTGCAACCCTGTCACACGTCCCCAGACCCCCTGCAGGTGGCTGCTCTAAACCAAGAACCAGCCCAAGTCCCTGAAGGTCAGAGGCCTGGCCCACAGGGAAGGGCACAGGAGAACCCGGCAGGAAGACCTTGGCGTACCCCCAGCCACGGACTGCCCCGCAGTGACCCCTCCCGGGCCGGCTTAAATGGGCCAGGGCCTCAGCCGGCGCCTGCTGGCACTGCCGAGCTCTCGGTGAGCTTCGAGAAGGGGCCGCCTTGCTCCCGAGCCCTGCAGCCACCACTTGAACACTGGCTGCGGCCACAGAGCCCAGCACATGACCCAAGGTCAGAAAACTAGCCAGGGCTGGATTCTTAATTAAAAAAAAAAAATCACACGTATGGGGCCAGAGCTGTGGTGTAGTGAATAAAGCCACTGGCTGTGGTGCCGGCATCCCACGTGGGCGCCGGTTCAAGTCCCAGCTGCTCCTCTTCCGATCCAGTTCTCTGCTAGGCCCAAGTGGTTGGGTCCCTGTCACCCACTGGGAGACCCGCTCGGAGTTCCTGGGCCCATCTTCGGCCTGGCCCAGCCCCGGCCCTGGCGGGCGTCTGTGGAGTGAGCCAGCCGAGGGCTCCTCCTGCACCGGGCGCTGTGGGAATACGTATTCCCAGAATAAAAGCGTGGCTGACAAAGGACGTCTTTCTGGAATTTTCCCTCGCACGCTGTGAAGACTCCTAGCCCCGGCTCCTGCTTCACGCTGCGGCTCACAAAGCCAGCGGCGGCAAGGTAACGGCGGAATCCGGGCAGCCCCTCGACTCTGCCACGTGTGCAATGGCTTCCAGCAGGAAAGCACTGGAGTCCAAGCCACAGGCTGGGTCCTCGCGTGCATGTCCACAGTGTCACCACCTCCATGCTGCGCACAGGCTCCTCACTGACCACCCAGGGGCACGGACGGCTGAGACCAGGCGCCGCGTGCTCCACACACCCGCGACCTGTCCATCCCACCACCTCCACCTCCTGGGCACACACACTGCCCATTGTACAGATGAGCACACAGAGGTGTGGGAAAACCAAGGAAGCGCCCGCAGCCTCCCAGCTGGCAGGTGGCAGAACCAGAATTCGCACCTGGGCAGCCCGGGCCGTCCACTGGACTCTCATAAACCACACCCTCCGGGAACACGCCGGGGGCCGCGACCGGGTGACCACAAACGCGTAGGACGCGAACAGGACCCACACAGGAGCCAGCCAGTGGTGTGGAGACGCCTTCGCTGGCGGTAGGCACTCGCTGGCGGTTCTTCTTCCAACGCCCACTCCCAGTTTGAAAATCCTTGCTTCAGGAAGCCAGCGTGTAGGCTGTTGAGATGCCAGCTGCGTGCCCACGTCCCATACCCTGCTGCCTGGGCTCCGTCTATGCCAACGCAGGACCCAGGGAGCAGTGGTGCGGCTCGGGCGGCCAGGTTCCTGCTACCCACACCGGGGACCCAGGCTGCGACTTCTGTGACTTCAGCCTGGCCCAGCCCTGGCTGGCGCAGGCATCTGGGAAGTAAAGCAGCGCTCTGACTCTCCCGACACTGGACACGTCCTTTTGGTCACGTCTGTGTCTAGCCCTCAGACCACCATCCAGTGCCGTACTTTTCCATGCCTGACCCCAGCAGGTGGCTCGGAGCATGCTGCACGATCTCCGAGGTCCCTGAGGGGGCTTTGCGCCGGCTGCCTCCCTGCTTCGATGGACAACTGCGTGGGATGGGGACTCAAACCCCGTGGCGCCCCGTCTTCCCTGGCGAGCTCTCTCAGGGTCTCTCTGGGATGGTTCGCCCTGCAGAGACCCCCATGCAGCCGGAGACCCAGGCCTGCGGGCACCCCCCAGAGTGAAGCTGCAGGTGCACCTGTCCCCTCCCACCCCCGAGCCTTCAGGTGAGACCACAGCCCCAGTGCATCACCTGGCTGCAACCTCCCGAGACCCTGAGCTCGGAGCACCCGGCTAAGCCACACTCGGGAAGTAGCCGCTGTGGACACCTCCCCAGCCCCCATTACCTCACTCTGTCTGCCTAGAGCTCTCCGCCGACCCCTGCCTGTTGCCTCATCTGCCACTCTGACAGCATCTTCACTGTACCCCAGCTCTGCATGCCCACTGAGCCCTCGGGGGCCAGCCCATCTGCACCCTGGCCGCCTGTCTCCTGCCTGGTCACTCTGGTCTTCATTCTGCGTCACACTGAAGACCACCGTGTCACATATTAAATGTCTCCGGGCCAGTGACGTGGCCCAGCGGGCTAAGCTGCCACCTGCGACTCTGGCGCCCAGTAGCAGAGCGCTGGCTCAAGTCCTGCTCATTCTGCTCTGACCCCGCTCTGTGTCAACGCCCCTGGAGAGGCAGCAGAGGACGGCCCAAGCACTTGGACCTCTGCCACCCACGTGAGAGAACCAGATGGAGCTCCTGGCTCCCGGCTTCAGCCTGGCCCAGCTCCAACCATCGCAGCCATTTGGGGAGTGAACCAGCAGTCGGATCTTTCAGTCTCTCCCCTTCTATAAATAACTCTGCCTTTCAAATTAAATAAACCTTAAAAAAAACTACCTGTGTCCTGTTGATGACTGTTAGCTGCCAGTGAACTTTGTTTGGTACGCACTCCTGTATCCTCAGCACCTGGCCGCCAACCCTCACTGAGCTAACGGAAGCAGCCCCACCTGCGAGCCCCCGCCCCGCACTTCTCAGACAAGGCCAACGACGCTCCCCTGTGAGATAAGCCAGAGTTCTCCAGAATACCGCCTGCCATGCCTGGCCCCCTCCCCCCCGGGCGCAGTGGGTGGGAAGCTCCCTCCTCCAACACTGCCTCTCTTTAGAACTTTCCAGAAACAGTTTTTAAAAGGACTCAAATCAGAGGATGCAAAGGAGGGGTTTGGGCTGAGGGCTGACCGGGCAGGAGCAGGTGCCCCTCTGGGCTGCCCCCTCCCCCCATTCACCTGGGCTTGAGGACTGCACACCTTGATTCTGCCGTCCTCCCACACTAAGTCATCACACAGCCCAAGGCTTGCTTGGCCCTCCAGGGGGCTGCTGGGAATGTCTCAGCCAGGTGGAAGAGCGTACCTGCAGACAGGTGGAGATCTCAGATCTTCAGAGCGCTCCGGGAAGGCTGCAGGAATGAGCTCCACCTGTGCCGACGGCAGAACACCGGTTCCGCCACCCTCACACCTGAGCGGCACACCTGCCTACAACCTGGCTGTACCAACGACACATCTGGAGTGACTATAAAGTATCCAGCCTGATGCACAACTCCAGAGATGGAAAGAGGAAAAAAAAAAAAAAAAAAAAAAAAACAGGCAAAGCAGGAAGGGTGACCGGTGGTGGCCAAGTCACTTCAAACACTGGGCAGCGGGCAGAGCGGCGGCAGTGCCCCGGTCTCCCCCGACCCACGCCGGCTGCAGCCCCTGCGTGGTCACACACGGCGCTGCCGACACAGACAGGGCCTGGGACCTGCGAGCGCCACGCGCCCGCCGCCTCATGCGCCGACCTCCAACTCTCGACTTAGAAAACACTCTTGCTTCCAGGGACAAGTATTTACCAACCATGCAACTCAAGTGTGGCAACTGTTGCTGTTCTCCGTGAGAACAAGAATCTAAGTCTTTCTGAATGGCTTTTTGTTTTGCATTAAAAAAAAACAAAACCCAAGTCTAAAAAGTTTGCCCTCGCTGCTCAAGGGGCCACGGCAGGGCGCCATGTCCCCAGAGCAACCCCAGGACCCAACCTCAACCAGTGCATTTGTGAACCACTGATTTATCTGCGATCCCCCTTCGGGCCGGAGCCCCTGCAGGAGGGGCGTCCTGCCCTTGTGTGCTGACGGAGTTAATAAGCGCGGGAGGACGCGGTGGGGTCACCCCTGCCCGGGCTGCTCCCCAGAGCAACAGGGCGGCTGTTCTGTCGGCGTCCTCTCCTTGTCCCTGATAGACTCCTGGCTCTGGAATCCTGCTGGTTTACTCCCGAGGGCCCTGCCCGGCCGTCCCAGGCCACTACTCGGCATGGGTTTTCAACACGCACTGGTGATGCGGGCAGCCAAGCTGGCGGCCCCTCGACTCCAGCCTTGATTCCTGCTACTACCCCAAGAGGCTGGAGCAACCCTGTTTTTCTCACCTCCGCTGCAGCCAGGGAAACAGGCTAAATCCCCAGCCAGGCACTTACCGGCCGCCCAAGGAGCGTCCAGCCAGCGCCGCTTCCGGCCTCAGTTTCCCGTCTGTAAGCGAGGGTTAAACGCGGCGCCAGCGGACATCCGAGCTCCTGCAGCTCTGCGGGCAGGGGGGCGCGCCCAGGCCGCTCAGGTGGGGTCCTGGGGGATTACGGTGGGGGGCAGGGGGCGCCGGGACTCACCAAAGCCTCCTCCTCGCTCCTCTCCAGCACCTGGTACTTGCGGTCGGCGCCCAAGAACGGGAGTTTCTGCAGGAACTTGGAGAAGCGTCTGTCGGCCATGGCGAGCGGCCGGGGGCACCTCCACGGCCTCCTTCGGGCTCGCGGCCGCCCTGCTGCGTCCCTCGGTCGCTAGCGCGGCGGGGCTGCCTGCGCGCGCCTCCCGGGCCAGGCCGGGTTACCAGGCAGCCACCTACCTGCCCGCCGCAGGTGAGACCCCGCCCCCGAGGCGGGGCGCCGCGCACCTGGCCCCGCCCCGCCCCGCCCCCTCTCCGAGGACCCCAGGTCCTGCGGGCGGCGGCGGCCGAGGAAGGAGGCCCTGGGGCGGCTGCGTGGGCTCAGAGCTTGGGCTGTGGGCTGGAGTCGCCAGATCGCAGGACTCACCTGGGTGGGGCAGGGCCTCCAAGCGCGGGTTTGAACTGCGACCCCTGGGCCCTCCCTGCCTCGAGCCCCTGGGCCCCGGGGTTTTACAAGCTCTCCCGGCTCTGTGAGCGCAGTGCGCCCGGTGTGAGCGGGTCAGAGCCTTGCCTGGTGCTTTGCACCCCGGGCAGCCCCCTCCCCTCAGGGAGAAGGCTAAGCCCCCACCTCCAGGGAGGGGCGGCCTTGACCTGGGCGTGGTCTCCTCCGCGGGAGGCCACCTTGCTGTGAAAATGGGAGCGGTCCAGTGTCTGGCAGGGCGTGGAGCGCGGCGGGGTCTCGGCTGAGGGCTCCCAGAGTGCCTGAGTGACTGCAGGTGGGCTGGATCCGGCCCCGCGTGGGCGTGTAGGGGAGGCTGAGGGCTTTGCTGGAGAGGGGCGGGGTTAGAACCCAGGCCCCGACGCAGGGCGCTGTGGGAGAGGCCGTGGCTTCCCCCTCTGCAGGGGCAGTTTGCCGGAATCCCGGAGAGGCTGTGGCTCCATGGGCGCCTGAGCTGCCCCAGCAGGGCCCCCTAGCCCCACTCAAGCCTCGGGGAAGCTCCTGGGCCCCTGCGAGTCTCCCCTGCATCATTAGAGGGACTGGCCCTGTGGCCCAGTAGGTTAATCCTCCACCTGCAGTGCTGCCATACCACATAGCTGCCAGTTCGAGTCCCGGCTGCTCCACTTCCGATCCAACTGCCTGCTGTGGCCTGGGAAAGCTGAAGATGACCCAAGTGCTTGGCCCCTGCATCCACGTGGGAGACCCAGAAGAAGCTCCTGGCTCTTGGCTTCAGAGGGAACCAGCAGATGGAAGACCTTTCTCTCTGTCCCTTTCGCTGTCTATAACTCTACCTCTCAAATAAATAAATAAAATCTTTAAAATAAACAAAGGGATCAGAGGACCCCCCCCCCCCCCCAGCCTGCATGGACGCTGCCCCGGCTTCTCCAGGCCCAGGGCAAAGCTCAGTCCAGGTTTGATTCCTGACCTGGTCTTTTCCACCTCTCTGCCCTCCTCCACCTGGGCTTGCTCACTGTGATGTGGGGGTGTCAGAGTCCCGGCGGGAAAGGGCGCCCCCCGGCGGAGCGACTGGAGGGGAGTTTGAGAACAGACGATTTACATAGGTGGGGACCGGCATTGAAGAACCAGACGGGACTGTGCCGCCACTCAGGCGTGTCCTAGGCTGAGTCCCGGCCGTGCCCCTGGCTCCACCCTCCTGCTCATGGGCACCGTGGGAGACAGCAGGTGCCCGGGAGTCCCTGCTCCCACCGCAGCCTTGCTCTGGCCGCTGGGGGCATTTGGGGGCTGAACCAGCAGATGGGAGTTCAGTCTCTGAAGGAAATAAAATAAAATAAAATAGCAGGAGTCCCACTGTCCCAGCGTGACGGGCACGAGGGGAGAGAGTGGTCAAGTGGAGAGGGAGCTGAGGGCATCAGTGGGCAAAACGGCTCTGAGCAGAAGCCAGAGGACAGCACGGCCATGGGTGCAGCCTCCTGGCCCAGAGTCTGAGAAGCTTCCGGAACCAAGCCTCATGTCCCTTTGTGCAGGCTGAGCTAGTGGGTCGGTGCGTGGCAGCTCCGGGAAGCAGCGCCTGGCCTGGCAGGTCGTCAGGCGGAGCCCCCATTGCTACCAACGCATCCCTGGGAACTCGGTGTCTCAGGTCCCTCCCCCGGTTCTGGGAGACGGAAGATAGCGCTGGCCGCAGGGAAGAACTTTGTCCACGGAGAAGGCCACGCGTCCGCGTGGCGGTGGGAGAGGTTCCTCCAGGCGGGCGGCGTCCAGGAGCTGTGGGGGGGGGGGGGGGGCAGATGCCTTTCCTCACAGGCCCCGCCTCTGGGGTCCACCATCCCGTTCTCGGGTCCACCACCCTGTTCTCGGCTCCAGCACAGAGGTGTTGGAGGATGGTGGGTTCTGGGCCTGCCGGGATGAAAGGAAACCCGAGAGGACCCCAGAGAAAGCAGCTGAGGGCGGGCTTGTGATTGGACGCAGCTGAGCGGGGTCAAGCGTTGGCTTTGGGGCGAGGGAGCAGCAGGCCGGCCCTGTGCTTTCTTTACTGAGCCTTCATGACGGTGTGTGTGCGATTCGTGTCGCCATCGCCACGGCGCCAGGACAGCTGGTGAATTCTCTGTGAGGCGCGTTCTTTGTCGGCTGGTTCCGTGTCCGTTCTCGAGTCACGCAGTTCACATCCTTGTTTCTTTTTGACTCCTTGATCTGATACAGGGCTCAGAATGCCTCGGCGTCCTTGCTTTCCTGTCCGTTTTTCCTCGTTTCCTGTAACTTTGATTTCAGCACAGACATCCCCTTCAGAGTTCGAACAGGAAAATGCAAAGCCGTTCTGAAGCAGAGCCCCCTCGTGGGGCTTCCTCTCACAGGTCTGAGGGGCTCCGTGGTTTTCATTCTCCTAACCTTTTTGTTTTCTCCACCTTCTAAGTCGTTCGCTTCAGCTACTCGAGCCCTTGTGTGGGGAGCAGGTTCTGTTGCTGGGTGGGGTCCACCTGCCCAGCGCTGACACCTGCCACGCGTGTTTGCTCTCCGCACGCTGTCTCAGCTCGGTTCTTCTTTGGGTCCTGCCCATCCCCGCTGGCCTCAGGAGTGGTTTCTGCCTTCAGCCCAGAGCGTTCCAGAGCCGGGGTCTCTGGGACGCGGCAGAGGTGGGTGCAGGGCGAGTCCCAGCCTGAAGCATCCGCCCGTCTTGCAACGTTTGCTCTGCACCCCTGAGCAGCGAGGTCAGGCTGTTCCCGCCCATTTGCTCTCTGTAGGAAAGCAGTCATCTCCTTACCCATAAGCCACCTCCCTCCGCACAGCCTGCTGGGAAGTGTGATACAGCCTCCGGGGACCTGACATTGGCCTGGGGAGAAATGCCACTCGCACGTTACAGGGTTGGCACCGACAGCACCCACTCTTGTAGGGGCAGAGTGGACCAGAGTGCATTCCATGCAGAATTGTTCAATATTAGGCTCCATGCGTGAGCCCTCAGGGCTGTCTTCCGCTTTGTGACGGCTGTGCGCACGGCAGTAATAAAATCATTTTATAGATGAAGCTGTTGGGACTTGAAGAGGTAAGACCATTTCATTGTTAAAAGATTTACTTATTTATTTGAAAGGTGGAGTGATGGAGAGAGAGGGAGAGTCAGAGAGGGAGGGAGAAAGGGAGGGAGAGGGAGAGAGGGAGAGAGGGAGGGAGGGAGAGAGGGAGGGGGAGGGAGGGAGAGGGGGGAGAGAGGGAGGGAGAGGGAGAGTCAGAGAGGAAGGGAGAAAGGGAGGGAGAGGGAGAGAGGGAGAGAGGGAGGGAGGGAGAGAAGGAGGGGGAGGGAGGGAGAGGGGGGAGAGCGGGAGGGAGAGGGAGAGAGGGAGGGAGGGAGAAAGGGGGGAGAGAGGGAGGGAGAGGAGATAGGGAGAGAGGGAGAAAGGGGGGAGAGGGAGGGTGAGGTAGAGAGGGAGAGAGGAAGGGAAAGAGGGAGAGAGAGAGAGGGAGGGAGGGAGGAGAGAAGGAGGGAGGGAGAGAGGGAGGGAGAGAGGGAGAGAGAGGGAGGGGGAGAGGGAAGGAGAGAGGAAGAGAGGGGGGGAGGGAGGGAAGGAGGAAGAGAGGAAGAGAGGGAGGGGGAGAGGTGAGAGGGAGGGAGAGAGGGAGAGAGGGAGGGAGGGATGGAGGGGGAGAGGGAAGGAGAGAGGGAGAGGAGGGGAGAGAGGGAGGGAGAGAGGGGGAGAGGGAGAGAGGGAGGGAGAAAGGGAGAGAGGGAGAGAGGGAGAGAGAGAGAGGGAGGGATGGAGGGTGAGAGGGAGGGAGAGAGGAAGAGAGAGAGGGGGAGGGAGGGAGACGGGGAAAGAGGGAGGGAGAGAGGAAGGGAGAGAGGGAGAGAGAGAGGGAGAAAGGGAGAGAGAAAGAGGGAGGGAGAAAGGAAGAGAGAGGGGGGAGGGAGGGAGGGAGGGAGGGAGAGAGGAAGAGAGGGAGGGGGAGAGGGGGAGAGAAAGAGAGATCTCCCATTGGCCAGTTCACTCCCCAGATGCCTGCAGTAGCCAGAGCTAGGCCATGCCAAACCCGGGGGCCAAGGACCCTCATCTGGTCACCACACTTGGGTGCAGGCACCCGAGCCCTTGGGCCATTAACTGCTGCCTCCCGGGCACATTAGCAGGCGCTGGGTTGGAAGCCACGTAGCTGGGACTTGAACCAGCTGTCCAGTAGGGGCACAGGCACCCCAAGAGCCAGCTGAATCCGTCTCACTACGATGCCTTCCACACACAGATATGTTCACAGGCCCTGCCGTGTGGCAGTGGAGAGAGCTGGGGACACCACGAACTCTGCCCCCGCCTCGTGGTCTCACCCCCCAGAGGGTGACACAGGCTGTGACAAATCAGGGTTGGGCAGTGGGTGCCGAGGGTGTGCCCACGCCCTGACCCACAGAAACTGACACGGCAACTGGATTTGGAAAAACAGTCTTTGTACCAGGGCGCTCAAACAGCTCACGGAAAACCCTCGTTAAGAAAGAGCTTTGTTGGGGCAGGCACTGTGGTGGTGGGTAAAGCTGCTGCCTGCAGTCCCATAAGGACACCGGTTTGAGTCCCAGCTGCTCCACTTCTGATCCAGCTCTTTGCTATGGCCTGGGAAAGCAGAAGAAGATGGCCCAAGTCCTTGGGCCCCTGCACCCACCTGGGAGACCCGGAAGAAGCTCCTGGCTGCTGGCTTCAGATCGGCGCAGCTCCAGCCATTGTGGCCAACTGGGGAGTGAACCAGCGGGATGGAAGACCTCTCTCCTCCTCTCTCTGTGTAACTCTGACTTTGAAGCAAAATAAATATTTTTTT